ACACTCTCCCACTCGTGAAACTGATTGTAAAAGAGTAACCAAGGACTTTCTTGCCTTTTCTTCTCCAACTCCACTACTACTAGATACTCTTTTAACAATCTACGCTAGAACGTGAAAATAGCTTTATTAGAGGACAAACTGTCAATCACACAAAGTTTTTTTTTTGCGTGACGTTGAATTTCCTATATTGTTCCCGTTCCCGATTTGAAATAAAAAATGATTTGATTTTGACTTTGATACGGAACTATTCTTTGAGTGCTTATTATTTATGATGCGATTCTTAAGCCCATTCAATCAATCAATCATTTATTTATTATTTGTAATTTTTGTAATTTACATTGTACGCCCTATGATATGAAAAAAATATCTATAATAACTATTTTTATAGAATCAAACCTTGTTTGATTGTCAGACAGGCGTTTTGTTTGCACAGGTAATCCCAAAGAGGATATAACCAATATCGTCATTGGGTAATCCTGCCTATATACATATAGCTGCCTATCAGCTTAGTCCGGGAGTTAGTTCAAAACACAACGATAGTGATTTTTTCGACATTTATTATGTAGTGGCGTAGTATTAGTAGTAGTATTTACTGTGTAGTGGCTTTCCCACGAGGTTTCATGGCTTAGGGGGTTTGTTAGTCAGTAAGAGCCTGACATGCACACGATAATATTCCCTTCTCAATCATTTAAAAGTAAAAAAAAGCTTTATGAAAAATTCTATGGCGTTTGGTTTTGAAGCATTCACGACCTAAAAATGGTATTCTAAAAGTAAATATTACTCTCGTTTTGTTTCATTTCACTGCAGTCGTATCTAGAATATTCTTAATTCTATTTATTCAATTGCAAATTATGTTTTAAACTCAGAATACAGAACAAACCAGAAGGCATCATCACGCTTCATACTGAAGTCACTAAAACCACTCTTAACTAGAGTAGTATAAAATTTCTACGATCAGTCAATTTTGGCACGTGGCATGTCATGACGTAGTTACGATCATATCAATTTTAATTTTATTACGCCGTCTTGTGTTATTCCTACAAGTAAAAATGAGGCTGAAATTACGAAATAAGTGGATAAGATTACATTTAATATGTAAGCATCGATTGCAATATTTATATTATTATATTTAATTAATTATTGATTTTTTTCTACCAATTTATTTTTCTATGAATAATAGTGCGGCCATTTTGTGAGTGTTGTCATTGTTGGTGAAAATTTTACCCACTTATTTATTTGTTGTGAGTTATATTTTTGTCCATTGTGGAACCTTTGTCATATTAGTTTCACTGTCAACGAAAAAAAAGAAAATGGATAAAAGTCACATAAAGAGTGTAGTGTGTAAGCCGATCCTCCATACAACATGTACTTAGTTAGTATTAAGCTTAGGTTAATCAAACAGTATAATATACGCCTTAGTCAAGTCAACACGTCTCATCACTTTCGTACCTACAAACCCCCACATTGCATGGCGACCCTGCCAGTACTGCCTTGTGGCAGTGCTGCGAATTGGGAACAGGAAAACATAATACTGTGATTCGTAAAAAAAAAGTACTATTATTAAAGTGAATATGTTGTGAACATTCTTCCAAGAAAAAAAAATATAAAGAAATGTCAGGTGAGCGAAATCACGAGGTCGACGCTGACGAAAACTCAGTGAAGTAGTAATCGGGGTGGACCTGCTCTATGTCCATCCACATTCAACAAACCCCCAGGGTTTGCGTATTGGCCCCCCAGGGTCGACGCTGACTAGTGGTCAGGCAGCAGATGCAGCAGACTACTCCCAAATGGTGAGAAGACATTGAAATCAGTGTGAGTGTGAATTAGCGTCAGTGATAATGTGAGTGTTCAAAAGGTAAAACTTATTATAATGCCGCGGACATTTTTAGACTTTTTTATTAATTAGGTACGTTTAAGGGTTTCTTTTTAAGTTTTTAAATGTAAAATCATTTCATTAATATAATTTTAATATTAAAATATATTAAATAGTAATGCTGTTGATAATATAATTAAGTAATTTGGTGTATGCTACCGTATTTTGTTTCTTAACCGTAATTATATTAGTATGTTATATTGTTAATGTTATGTTATAATCATATATATTTTACTCAATGCTACAGTACATTTTGTAATTAACAAATATATGTTCCCAGAACATTCTCAGGTGTGCCGTATCATATAATGCACGCGCTGCAATTTTGATGATGATGTCATGCAGTTCACGTGTGGCATCAATATTTTACATTGGGTATCATGTGTCTTTCTGTGTAACCAACGGATATGGAACTGTAAAGTAGATAATTATGTTCCTTAACGTTATGTAAAAATGTATCAAGTTTTAAAAGAACTTTGTCAACCTATGATTATCTTTAAATTTGTCTAGATAAAGTTATAAGAGAGTGTAAAATAGGATTTTGTAAAGGTTTTTTTGAAAAGTGGTATAGGATTGTTTTGAGGATAAGTTTTCTAAAATTGTTTGGTATGATATGGTATTAAGTAGTTGGGAATCGTTTGGTAGGCAAGACTCTGCGCTGACGTCATCGGACTGATCACCCGAGAGTGCCAGGCTTGTAAACCAAGTTATTCATTTTGTACGTGTTATATTAACGTTGTGTTTGCAATGCTAATGTTTATGAAAATGTGGTACACAAATTAAGAAGTAGGTACTATAAGGACAGATCCTTCCATTTGATCATGGTGTCGGACGAGCTTCCCTCCGTGAAAATTGTTGGAAACTAAAAGGTTTTAAACACTGAGCCTTATATAAAAAATAAAGTCGACTGTAAAAGTGAGTAATGTACTTCTATAAAGTAAATAATATAATGCATGAATAATAAGAAGACCTGAGGAGGTCCAAATAAAAATATGTGTACCATAATATAGAGAATATAAAGATGTTGATGATGAAAATGAAATGGAAGAGTATCGAAAGTAGGTAATATACTATTTTGCGTAAAAGTAATGGTGATGCTTAAAAAATTGAATTGAAAAGACATTAAAAAAAGTATTTGTAGAAAATTAAATGTAATATGGAAAGTATTAATGATAATTATAGGTATATAATGTGCTTTTGTAGGTAATATGAAGTTTTGAAGTTTTTTTTTTACCAATTATTTTAATGTATTTGTAATGAAATTCATAAATATAGATATAATAATGTTGTTAGTTATCAACAGTGCATTTCCTTACAATTAAATAAAAATCAGTTGCAATAAGCATATTTCAAAATTTTATTCAATCTTTTGATGTATTTCAAAAAAAAAAAAAAAAAACAAATTTGTATTTTTTTTCTTTTATTATCGGTGGAGGTGTAGTGTGTAAGCCGATCCTCCATACAACATGTACTTAGTTAGTATTAAGCTTAGGTTAATCAAACAGTATAATATAGGCCTTAGTCAAGTCAACACGTCTCATCATTTCGAACCTATAACCCCCCACATTGCAAGAGCATGGTTACATAAATTTTGGAATTTATCTAGCCGGAGCATAGTTTGCTCAATTCACTTTGAAGAAAAGGTGGTGTAAAAAGACTGAAGAAAATAGCAACTCCTACTTACTATACTAATTATAATGCTGAAGAGTTTGTTTGTTTGTTTGCTTGAACGCGCTAATCTCAGGAACTAAGTAAAGTAAGTAAACTTCTAATCAGTTCCGAGTCAAAAAGACAATACATATTATAAAAACTACTTAAATCAGCAAAAGAGACCGCAATAAAACCTTTGTACTTATTGAAGCTTTGTTTTATTTGTTGTGTATAGCAGGTGTAACTAAAATTAACACAGCAAGAAATCATCAACTTTTATAATACCACCTATACCTGCATGGAATTTGTAAAAAACTATTCTGTTCCATTTATCTTAAGTTTACCTATATTTTTTTTGGGTATTCCCAAAAAGATATATCTTCCATTTGTAAAATTGCCCCAAACCAAGGGAATTTTTCCACTATCGGCAACACTACGCGGGTGGGAAGTGCGGCTGGCGGGGGGACTGACGTATTGTTTTTGGACACATTTGACGACATGCAATTATGAGTGAACGCGGCTTCTGGTTTGTTCTGTATTCTGAGGTTTTAAAATATATAAATAATGCGTCATTGAATATTGGTTTCGAACTAATTTTAATGATTCATTCAATGAAACAGATGGTTTTCAATGAAGGAAGTAATACTTTGTATTTGTTTTTGTTTATAAGTTAACATAAGGGTGGGTGCACACTTAGCTTCGTAGCCGAGTGCGCTAAAAAGGGGCTTAATAATGTATTTAAGAAACTGTTCTGCGTTAAAAAAATATAATCAACTTTTTATAGTTTTTAGAAAAGAAGTAAGTAAGTGTGTAAGTATAGTGATTAAAGTTGTATGGTCAAAAATTAGGTGCGTTTTGAATTTTGAGTACTTAGAAGTATCCCAGATCCTATTCTGTTAACAGGATTATGCAATAGAAATGAAAATACGATGTTTCATAAAATAAGGTTGAGCTTAGACTAGAAATCAGCCGGGGTGCTAGCGCAATTATGTACCGCGGCCCTGGCTTCGACCAGGAAAGGAAACGGGAGGTTTTTAGTCGGTAAAAGTCTGACACTACCTTTCGTCCCACCTGAAGCGGGAAGTCATTTGAAATCCCCTATCAAAAATAAAAGAAGCTTAAGATAGAAAAGAAAACGACATTACTCTTAAAAAATATATTTTCCCGTTAGTTCTTAAAAAATATATTTTCCCGTTAGTTCATTTTAAAACAACGAGACTATCTTATCTTATTCAGGGAAAGCCCGAATTCAAAGCACGATATTCGGACCTGTCCTAAAACATCAGTTTACAAACAAAATAACTATATGAATCAACGCTATTGCGTTTGTATTATTTTTACTTGGTTATATGACACGTAGGGACGTAACCTAATACTATATCTAAATACAAAAAAACAAGCAATAATAAATCTTTAGCTATAGGGTTTAAGGTTGAACATGATAATAACACAATACCGTGTCTAAGAACATCTACCGACCTCTTGTTGAGTGCAGACAAAATTGTTTGCACAGTCCAGAATGTGGTGATAACCTCTGAACCGACGTCCGGGCATATAAAACTCAGTAGTCAGTCCCGCGCACTAGTGATTCACAGACGTCTGAGACAACATGATCGCCTTTGTACTGTGCGCCCTCGTCGCCGCGGCGGCTGCGGCCCCGCACATCGACTACCCCAGGAGAGAGTTCATGCCTCACCTCCACATACAAGCCCGCCCCTACCTGAACGGCGATATCTTCGACACATCAAAATTCTGGGCGGACATGTCCCGAGAATTAAGGGACTTTGACGATATGATGAACGACTTCGTTCGCAGATTCCCTACCAGCACATCACAAGAAGGATTCGAAGGTAACGAATACAAAATTACTATCCCCCTATCTGACTTCGAAGAGAAGGACATCGTTGTGAAGGCCCGTGAAGGATTGTTGATGGTGCAAGCGATCCACATCTACGCGGAAGGTATGTCCAAGAACTACTTGGATGTGAGGACTCTACCTGACACTGTGAATGTGGCCGGTAACTGGGTGTTCGACAAGGGAGTCTTGAAGATCACGTTCCCTCTGAAGAGTGGAGCTGTGACACCAGCGCCTGTCCCGACCACGACGCAATCGTCGTTTGAGACTGAACGGCCGACCTTTGGTGGTAGTCGGGAGGAGATTGAGAGTAATGTGAATGTAGGTGTTCAGGATGCCGACGTTGGACTGGGAAGGGGAGACCAAGACAAGGTTACCGAGCTGAAGACTAACGAGATCCCTCAAGGAAACACCGTTGAAGCGACAACTTACGCTGTGGACTTGAAAGACGAAGTGGAATTCGTTCCAGTTAAGTACTAGACAGTGTTAATTTGTAAATAAAATTTTATAAGAAACTCCAATTATGTTTTTCTTTTAAAATAAGTAAGTATAGTGTTATCTTATTGTGGCTCTTTGTGTGTGCTGTGATGTGGTCTGTTTGTACACTTTGATAAGAAGATATTATAATGAGCTATTTACTAATGGACGCTTTATTTTAATGACGTCATAATGGTCAAGCTTAGCAAGTATTTATAATCTAGATGATTCTAGAATTGTGTTTGAACATAAATCACACATTGTACGTATGTTCTAAACAATTTATAGCATTGAGATAGATGATAAAAAAAGGAATTACCAACACTTATGTGATTTAATTGTGCGTGACTGAAATAGTTCTAGCAACAATGTCAAAGGTTGGTATATTAGTGTTGTTAAAGCGTAAAATTGCCTTTAGCACTTCTATTTGAATTGGTATTAAGTATAGGTTTCCTCATGCCCATGTGAGAGACGGGACACCCGGTGGTTTTTAGTCAGCAAGAGTCTGACAGTTCTTCTAACAATCTGACATCAGTAAAAGTGAGATAGTTCGTCTCTAACTGGTCGGCAAACAAGCAGACAGATTATCTGATGGTAAGCAATCGGCGCCGCCCATTTACACATATAACACCAAGAGTTACGAGTACGTTGCCGGCGTTTTGCAGACTGGGGTTTCGGAGATTTAGGGATTAGGAATTAAGGATTAGGCCTCCGGTAACCTCACTCACACGGCGAAACAACGCTGTGGTTGTCTCTCCTCAAGTCAAGCCGAAGGATGTTTCTCCCACTTTATCTTGAGGTAAAAAAATATAGATTTATCCCTGATAACAATACTAATGATATGAAAGGTGTAAAGTGAATATTTGCTTGTCAAGGGAAATACAAGAATCCTGGTAGAAGCTGTTATATTTATAAGAATGTTCGATATATTGTGACAAAGTTCCCCGTTTTATATATATTATACATAATATATTTATCTGTTTTGTTTATGTTTGAACACTAGATAGAGTTGGGGTCACACAAGTATCTATTAAATGTGTTTATCATCAAAATAGTGTAGTGTGTCGTCACAGTATAGCATTTATTTATTTATTTAAACTTGATGCACAATGGGTACATAACATAGGCGGACTTAATGCCTAAGGCATTTTCTACCAGTCGAACCTTGGGTGATGCAGAGATGAGCCAATGGTCTGTGCAAGAAGCAAGCAAACGACTTAATTTTAAATGGGATATGACATACGAGATAGTAATGTAGGTATACATTTGATGAGTATAGACAAATTACGATTGATGTCAATTTAGGTAATTGAAGTACAATTATAATTCAGGTATCGAAAGAGGATAGGACTGTCCTGTCCTGTCCGAAATTAAGCACATAGCCCAAGATAGGTCCAAATGCAAAAATACTGTGGAAGCCCTCTGCCCCACCTAGGGGACATAGGAACTTAAGTCATAATTCAGGTATCAGCAATATGAAGGTAAATATTATCATTTATTACCTGAAAGAGTAGGCAGAGATTCCAGCTGCCGGCAAACGTGTTTGGTCCACAAATTGTTAACGCACCCACGACACAGGAGAAAAACCTGAAGTAAGTAAATAAATACCGACTAAATGATGTAACAAAGAAGTGAATTGTAAAACCGACTGAAAGAGTAACCATGGAGTTTCTTGCTCGTTCTTCTCCATAGGAATTTACACTTTGAAACGAGCAAATAGCTTCACTAGAGGACAGACGGACAGACTGACACGCTTAAAGTTAAAACTCTGGAAATACTTTTTTCCTTTTTTTTGTTTGACGTTTAAAAGTGCCTACTGTGGTCTAATTGAAATAAATGATTTCGACTTTGACTTTGACTTTAATAAAAGTAAATTAGGTAAAGGATTTATTGTAACAGGTCAACAGGAATTGTTCTCTTTTTTATATTATAGATCGACAAACGAGCAGACGGATTAGTTGATGGTAAGCAATCGGTGCCGATCATGGACAACCGCAGCACTTAAGAGTTACGAGTGAGTTGCCGGCCTTTTGAAGATTAAGGATTGGGGAAGGGGAAAAGGATTGGATCTCTATTGTTGACATTTGTTTTTAAAACCCCAGAGGGCCTACCATGACGTGTAAATGGCGATAAAGAGGGATGGTGTATAGCCATCTCTCTTTCTCGACGGGAATATTTAAATAGAAAGGAGAATGGAGATATTTTTTATTATAAAACATTAAATGAATAAAATAGTATAACAAATTGTTATAGGTAGCTACTTAAATACGTACATGTTACAATTTTATTTTGTTTTATAAAATTCCAAGAACTGATAATATTAATGTGGATGCTTAAACCTTTAATTTACGGGGTCAAAGTTTTTAGATAATTTTGGGTTTTTCGTTCTAAATTTTTATTAAGTATTTGTCTATCATTATCACTTTTTTACGTTTTTTATTTTCTTTCGCAAGATGTAAATTAGGCATAAGTGGTGTTAGGTAAATACAATATTAACTTGTTACTTGTTACTATTGGCCCTAAGAGGCAGTCTTTTGTCTAGCCAAGAAAATTCAATAGAGATGACGATGTATAAGAATTTATAATTATTCTAAATTCTAAATCGTTAGCCAGAAAAAATATTAGACGTGTTTTTAATAATATTGAATTTAAGTTTAGGCGTTTAAAGTCGCGACATAATCGACATTTTCTAAAAAAACATATAAAAATGAATAGCAAAATGTTTTGGTAGATTTAAAACACTATTTTTATTTTTTTCATGTTTTTCTTTCCTGTGATATTAATCTGTGAAGAAATGTCGCAACAAACTCAGAGTTTTAGATCTTTTAAAGTTCAGACAGTAGATATAAATATCTATAGACATTATAAGTAATCTTAATACCTAAATAATATAACGTGTGAGAACCGTCCAAATTCATTCTGTGGTGGTATTTTGAGGAAAGAACCACACCAGTTTCACAAATCACAACTAAGTAGGTAATTAAGCTGACACTGCATAATGATATCATTACATGTCCAACATTAGTGGTAATTGTGGTAAATATGCATAGCCGGCGGTAAGTTGGTGTTAGTATTAATTATATTAGCCTATCGGTTAATAGACGTTGGGAGCTATTATAAAATTAGATACAAATAAGTTCTTCATTGTCAGGGGACAGTATGGATGATGAGAATATTTTTTTATGTGGATATAATAAAATAAATATATTACTTTAATTTTTTATCAATGAATCTCACAAAATTAGAATCAGCGCCATCTATCGTAGGTAGGGGATTTCACGATAGCTTTAAATACCTAGTGTTCGTTTTAGTGAAGTTCGCAAGTTTTATTTTAATTCAGACCAGTTTTAATAGATGTCGTTTTACCCAAAAGCAGAGAGGTAAATCTCATAATAAGGGGTTTTTTCAGTCAAGGTATTGAAGTTAATTGAAAATGAGGGAGATCCTCACATAGTCAGTTCTTTATTTATTTTTACCCCTCAAAATTGATATTTATACTTCATACTTTTTTTTTAAATCGTTGCCCCCTCATTGGGTTTTCTCCAGTATCATGGGTAAGTTTACAAACATACAATCGAACCAGCGACACATTGCAGCCGGTAGCCGGTTGCCCAGCTACCGCGCTAACCGCGCAATTAAAACCTGAAAAATAGAAACCCTACATTCCCTTTTTCAGGAAAATCCTCCATTTTCTCACCTCAACATCCATCTGTCGCGGATCAAGTAACTAAACTTAAGTTGAACTTAGGGAAATTAAGTAATTAACAGAAACCTGCAGACTCTCCAACTTAGTGGTAACTTAATCCTCAGTCGTAACCTTATGTTAATTCAGACATGAACTTAATTCGGGTATTCGTCGCATCTAAGTTGAAATTAAGTAAGTTTACAGTTTATATTGTTTGTGTTTTGTGCTGATAGTCTTGAGAAGTTATTATCATAATTACCTTTGTGTTTGATGCGTCTCGTTAACGCTGGGAGACTGGTAGACTACAAAGTATAAGCAGATATACATAAAGTTATTTCATCATCATCATCATCATCATCATCAGTCGGTAGACGTTCACGGCTGAACGGCGAATAAGCTGACTGACGAAAACTACCCTGCTGCTTCTCCGGGCCATGATACATAATTACAGTACGGCCGCCGTATCTTGGCGAGTCTGAAGTTAGCAGTTTGTCTGCGCAATGGATCTTTTAGAAACAAAATTGTATACTGCGCAGCTAATCGGCTAACAACCTTAATGAAAAATCGGCCAGGGTACCCAAATTTCAGCCTTAGATGCGGCATTTGATATCAGAACATGCATATGAAGTGAACAGCTATCTATAGTTTATGGTCGTTTTGTAACCACTAATAACTCGCGCTAATCTGATTTATGATAGTATCGCAGTCAGCAAAGCGGTGTATCAGCAAATTAGTGCACATTACTCGATAATTATTGCTTGTTGGTCGGTTGAATGGTTGCAAATACGAATGATGTATTATTATACCTTATTTACGAGGTCAGGACTCATGGTTAAGCTGCCTAATAAAAAATAGGTGGTAAATAGAACAGATGGGGGGTTAAAGGATCTCTTTTATTTGTTCATCATTATCATGATCAGTTGAAAAGCTGAACAAATGCCTTCCCTTAGTCCACCATGTCGAACGAAAATTCGTCGCTGGTTGTTTTGGTCCCCGCGACTCTTATGAGTTCTTTTAATTTTGTTATAATTATGTAATATATATCTAAAAACCTCATATAGTTATTATAAAAACTGTCGAGAATTTGTGCAAAGTAAATGCTACCTACAAAATGAGGCTTTCTGGTAAGATTTTGTATTCTTTTTTTAATGACGATAAGTATAATGATAACGAATAATTTTTATAATGCTTGGCAAGCTAGCCGAAGGATTGCTTGATGGTAAACCTATGAATATCCGCAATACCAGGTAGAGTTCTTTTTCCGCCTTATTGAAGGGTTAAATTTTTTTTTTTATATGTAATAGGTCGGCAAACGAGCAGACGGATTACCTGATGGTAAGCAATCAGCGCCGCCCATGGACACTCGCAACGGAGGAGTTACGAGTGCGTTGCCGACCTTTAAGAGATTAGGGATTTGGAGATTTAGGGATTGAGGAGGGATTGGGGAAGGGGAAGGAT